AGAATCTGGCTCCACACCTCCAGACTGCATGATTTTGAACAAATGACTTAATCTCTTTAAACCTTAGCATCACATGTATGAAAAGGAATCATATTAAATTTTATCTCATAAGTTTGCTGCAAGACTGAGATAATGTACATGAAATCTGCAGGCTATATATATTTAAAGTTATTATTACAATTTTTATATAATAGACTTATATAGTATATAAACTTCTACTCAGCTAAATATTGTGTTTTTGTTTTCATAAAAAGAACTCTTGATTTATTTTTTTCTTTCTTTCTTTTTTTTTTTTTTTACAAGATTTCCATGTCTTTCAGTATTCACGAAATAAACACTCAGAGAGAGGTCAGAGAAAAAGGCTACCTCCAAGCATGCTCTGGGCCCAGAATAAGTCACACTTTGGACTCTCTCTACATATAAACAATAAATATTTCAATGAACGAGAAGTAAGTAAATGTGCTTTGTAAAGTCTAAGACGTCATATAAAGTTGTTTATGGGGGTTAACTCTCAAAGGGGGCATGCGTCACTAAGGGCAACCAGAGGGCAAAGTAGGCGGGTCAGCAGGAGTAGTGTATGAGTTCTCTGCTGTTGGTTTTATAGAGACATGTAAATATGTACACATTATATATATATATAGATATGTGCATACGGTAAAACCTGCGAAAGCCAGAACCTATGTAAGGCAGAAATTGGTCAGAGGAGGAAAACTCAAACATTTTCCACTAAAACGAGCAATAGAAAAATCATCAGACCGCACCTGTTAAAGGTGAAAAGCTTGTGAGACCCGGAAAAACAGGGCAGTCCTGTCAAGTTCAGCTCTGACAGGTTCACTGTATTTATCTGTCTACACACACACATATGTGCAGGTACATATTATATGTGTGCGTGTGTGTGTGTGTGTGTGTGTATAAGTACAGACAAATATTCCAGAGGAGCGAGATTGAAAATGTTTTTTTATATGTATTAGCTATGCATTTCTGTGTTAAATAGGCTCTTTCATGTTGCAAGCAATAGACACTCAGTTTCTAGCCTTTTGAGATTTTTATTCTTTCATTTTGTTTTGTTCTTGTACCACACGTTCATGCAACAAATCCCTGCCCAGGTTTATGGGGGAAACTAAGCTGAAGGCCTGGCTACCAAACTCCTCACATCCTAGGAAAAGCTTCGCATGAATACAGTGTTTTATTTGGACCTTGCCACAGCCTTTCAACTGTTGCTTAGAATCTGCCTGGAGAAAGAAAAAAGTACGTAATTTCCTTCAATTATTGTTTTTTGTCCATTTTTACTTACCACTGGCATTTGTTCATAGACACGAATAGAAGACAGTCTATCTACAATAGAGGAAACACGAGCAATTGATATCTTAGCAGTTTTCACTCAACTCATAAAACATACAGGATTACTTCTGAACCTGAAGGGTTTCCGCGGAATTTTTCCATTTTCTCTTCAAGAGAAACAATTTGCTTTTCTAGTTGACTGTTAAGTTCAAGTTGTGTCTCGTAACGGGTTTTCCATTCACCACCTGAGTGAAAAAAGGGGGAAAAAAATCAAGATTATCCCATCACCTCTCATTTATTCATTAAACTAGTATCAGTCAGCTCAACCTGACTCTTACTTGACTTTCTCAGCAATACAGACGAAGTAGAATGAACACTTTTAGTTAGATAGGTTCTTTCAGATTGAAGGGAACAGACACTGGATTACCACACAGCTGGACCTCAGGCCG